TGTGATATGCGTTCAGATATAAGTATTCCTTTTATTTTTTGCATGCAACAATTTATGATGTGGAAATCATGTTTAATGTGGGAATATCTTCCGTTTCAATGCTGGGAGGAAGTTTATAATGTGGTATGACGCAATTTTTTCTTATTTTGTCTTTGTAGACATGGATTTCGAGCCTCTTGTTCTAAAGAATGCACGCTTGCGGGGCCACGTATCGCAGAGAAGCAATCTGCGGTATATAAAAATAGTCGTGGAACATTTTGACGAGCGACAGCGGGAAGAGTTTCGCAACTCATGCCTTGGGTTCTTGTCCGAGGTTCCAGATCTCCAGTTCTCTGCCCAATTAATCCAACAACTCGTATTCTGCTGCATACAAACAAAGAAGCGGCACGAACTGTGGTTTAATTTGTAAGGCCACCTCGCTAGGTTCGGAATTCAAGAATATGCCATTGTGACTGGATTAAGGTGTGGTCTTCTCCCGAATGACAATGTCATGGACCGAGTTCTTGAGAAGAGGAGACTAAAGGACAAATACTTTAAACATGTGGACAAGATTTCTTGCACCCAACTCGAGCAGACATTTCTTCGATCGTCAACGCCTCGAGCCGATCGGTACAAGCTTGGCCTCGCTTTGATCATCGAAGGAGTCTTCAATGCTCCGGATAACAACGTTGGTATCGATATGGAGACGTTGTCGATCGTCGACGATCTAGACTTGTTCTTTTCGTATCCTTGGGGTAGAATCTCTTACGGACGTCTGATAAAGGGCTTTCGGGGCCGTTGGGCAAGAAAATTTTTGGATGCGACGAAGAAGAAGGAGAAGGCGGTTAGCTACACGGTCCACGGCTTTCCCATTACCATACATGTATCTTTATTTTACCTACAAATTATTTCAATGCAAATGTATTTCGTGGTTTGTTTCGTTCTAAACTGACATTCCTTTTTTACTCTAACAGATATGGGCGTTCGAGGCGGTGCCTGAAATTGGTGATCGCTTCGGTGAGCGTCTTGGGGAACGTTCCCCACGGCTTCTCGGCTGGACATCAACAAAACAGCCGCAGCAGCGTACGTACGACGCTTTCTTCAAGAATGTACAGGTAAAAAATTATGTTACTTCTACGATCTCATACCTTGCATTCGTCATTGTAGCATGTGGTTATTTCGTAACAAATATGTTCATGTTGTAGCTACACGTGTACGCGACACTGCGGCCCACCGAGACTGAGTGTGGGCAACCTCATATCGCAACTCTTGTGCCGCTCAATGATGATCCTGTCCCTGCGTTGGATGACCATGCTAGGGACAGTGTTGCTCCGCAGTTCCAAGCAGAGCGTATAGGCACCCCCGAGGGTGATACTTCTGAGGAGGCCCATGACGTTGGCGGGACCAGTGGTGAGGAGGAGTTAGGAGCTGATGAGAGCGGAGAGGAAGAAGGTGGGGACTCGGAGGAGGACGACAGTGAGGATAGTGATGGTGATCGAGTTGGACGAAGTGGACAAACGGGGACTCCCCCCCAGCATAGAGCTACTTCTCCCATGGCACCGTCCACCTCTCATGTACGACCTACTGCAGCGGCTGCATCAAGTCTCACAGCAGACGATGTTCAGGGGATGTTGCTAGATCAAAGAATTCTGTTCGAAATGCGGCTCCGCACTGTGAAGCTCGAACTCATGCAGCACATGTCAGATGAATTTAAAAACTTGAAGGACTTCATATCCACCCTAGTCCCAGCATTCGGCTCTACAACCACTGCATGTGCGACTGATGTCGACCCCGAGCCCAGACAATCAGGTACTTCACCGTATGCGTATTACAGTTCTTTATGACAATGTTCACTTTATCCCTGCTCACTGACATGTTCTGTACGACAATTGTTCATTCATTGTAGACTACGGAGGCTTTGCAGGCCACCACCCATCGCCTGACGGTATCGACAAAGACATGGGGATTGACAGGCAAGAGGGGGATGGTATGTGCATTAATGAAAAACACATGGAGCCATGCCTGGACGAGCAGGATATGCCACTGGCCACTGGAACCGAAAGTGTGGAAAGTACGTCGGTTACTTTTGAGCAAATTGATTAATTATCATTTCATGTGTTTCGGAAGTTTTGAAAATTGTTAAAATTCACTTTCTATTCGCTGTTTCGTTATTGTTCTGAATAGACATAGCGCACATTCAGCCGTGCCCGGAGGATCGCCCCGTGCCAGAGCCCTCTACAATCGAAGAAGTGCAAGGTATTGCATTATTTTTCACGATTTCAACAAATATTATTTCAGGCATTCGATTAGTTTACAATTGTTCATTTGTTGTAGTCGAAGGGGCCCACCACCCATCGCCTGGCGACTGTGAGAAAGAAAAGGACATGGTGTCTACTGGAACCATAAATTTGCAAGGTATGTGGGTCATTTATGAGGAAAACTTGTAGGTTGTTATTTCATGTACTTGGCATAATTTGAAAATTCGTACATGTAGTTATACACTGAAAATATTTAATTGTTCTTTTCGACAGACACAGTACACATTGAGCCATGCCCTGACAATGACCTCGTGCTAGCGCTTGTTGCAGTGGATGAAGTGCAAGGTATTGCCTTCATTTCTGACAATTGAATTTAATTTTCATTTTCAGTTGCTTACGTTGTAACTTTCCCAGTTCCCGCCGATGTTGCCCGACCAGGACGGGTAGTTACAACAAATAGACGGAGATCCGCACGACTGCGACGTCCGGCACCTGCTACTAGGACTCCGTACACGAGGGGGAGCGCAAAGCAAAAACATTAATACTTGTGGATAAATTGCCGAACATAGCACGATGACGGGGTTCAGCATGCTTTTGTATTTTGTTTGATGTAATTTACGTGGTGAAGGATGTTAGTTACTTCGCGTTATATTGGTGCCTTGTTCATTCATTTTTGTAATTTACATATCAGACAGGGTTGGCAAGCTTGGTGACACTTAGAAGCATTCATCACATTTTGCAATTCCCGTGGTGAATGCCTTGTCACCGTTTACCGTTGCTGAAATTATTATAGTGTTAGAACTTGCATTAGTTATCCGGCTTTATTATATTATGTCAATCGTACTTACGGTACTAAGTGCCTTCATTCAATGTTCATCAACGCTCGTACATTGTATTGCGCAAAAAATTATGTATGCGTACATTTATTCTTCTTCATTTATTCTGCAGTTTACCAAAATTCAAAATTATACAATCTTTACTGCAATGCACGTTTTCGTCAACTGTCGAGAAGGAAGAAAACATCTGTCGGGCCCGACAGTTCAACTAGGCGGGCCATTAAATTTTATAACTTCCTTGCGTTTCGATAATTGAAAATGGTGGGATTGTCCAATACAAGTGTGTTAGTGTAACATGCTATTGTAGATATTATACGTTTCTGATTTTTTGCAAGTAACAAGTATTTCCAATACATTTATACTATCATAATGAATGCATTACAAGCATTGTCTATCAAATTACATTTCGTATGTCATTAAAGCTGTTGTGAGGCTTCCATTTTGAAACAGGTAGTTGATACGAGATAATGGGTTCATCCACCTCTAGCAATGAAACATTCAACTCCAATATGCATCCACCCATACTGGGTTCATTCGCTGAGTTTCCCATCGTTTTGTTGTCAGACGATGAGGATGTAAGAGTTGAACTGCATGGTGCCGAGTTTGACGTAATGTCAAGTGCAGAATCTAAGTCACTGAACAGCGTTCTCGATCAAGTCTTCGAGGTTAGGGGCCCGGTCAAGTCACCGTCCGACTCGAATGAGTGGGTGCCTCATGTTCCACCTCCAGATGTAATTGTCATTAGTTCAGACGAGTCTAATGGGAAAAGTGGGGGAGCTTCTTACATTGTCAAAAGCAGTGCAACTGTGCAATAAATGGCCCTTTTGTACGAAAATATGTTTACTATTTTGTGGTATGGATGATTTTGGTCACGTTCTCTGGATACGTGCAGAAACTGCATCTCCATAATAGGCAACCGCAGTAGTGTAGGTTTTCAAGCCGCTGTTGTTCCCAACTGTCGAGAATTACAGAGACTATCTCTCGGGAACGACATATGAACTGTCAAGACGTAATGTTGGTGTTTTGTTTGTTCAGTATGGTCTCATGAAAATCAGTTTTCCATTTCGACGAACTGTCAGTCGAAGCTAATGAAACTTCTATGATCGGCTAAGTTTATAGTACGAAAAAGGTATTCATCTCATTCGTGATAATGGAACTGTAATGATCGGTACTTTGCTTGCGGAACATAACGACCAAATTTGCACTGGCATATGATAATAATAACAGATTCATAAAATAAGTTCGGAATGTACAATGCATATTTAAATTAAGTTTTTCGGGGATTACATTTGACAACCACTTTTACAGATCACGCTTCTTCAAGTGGCTTGTGATACAATAGGGTTCGAACATGTGGTCCGGTTATGACCAAGTCTCCCACATCGAGTGCATTTCCTCAGTTGGGAAGTGGACTAGTATCTAGCTCGCTTACGTCGCGTCGGTGGTCTACCTGGAGGACGACGTACGGTCGGTGGCAAAATATGAGTGCCTAGGATTTCATTTGGAACAACCCAATCCACTTCCCGTGTAACGGGATATATGACTTCCATATAGGCACCCCTCCAGTATTCCGATGTATAGTACGGAGAGCATAGATCGTATAATGACTTACCACTCAGGGTAGCCCCACGAGTTGCATGAGCACATGGCATACGATTTAGTTGAAACTCACGACATGTGCACGTGTTATCGGAGAAGTCCACTATCTCCGTATCGTTGGATATTCCAACCTGGGTCAAGCTGTTTGTCAACTGATGGGCTCGAAGCCTAGTACCAGCTTCAAATGTTGTTTGTAACTCGTTCTCCATCCTCGACGATAATATAGTACTACATGCGGTTGCATTGCTTCGACGTTCGTAAAACCACCTCTGCATTGTTTTACGAATGTGCTCGACCAAACACGTGATTGGCAACGAACGAGCATGTCTCAGCATTGATGGGCTCGAAGAAGCCTAGTACCAGCTTCAAATGTTTGTAACTCGTTCTCCATCCTCGACGATAATATAGTACTACATGCGGTTGCATTGCTTCGACGTTCGTAAAACCACCTCTGCATTATTTTACGAATGTGCTCGACCAAACACGTGATTGGCAACGAACGAGCATGTCTCAGCATCGAGTTCAATGATTCCGCGTTGTTGTTTGTCATAATGTTGTATCGGTCTCCCACGAATAGTGCTCGTGACCAGAATGAAAAACCGGCTTTCTCCAAATACCTGTAACATCTTTCACTCACCCTACGAATCTGTCCCATTAGTCGTTCGAACTCTTCGACCCGATAAGTCGTAGCAGCTCGTTTGAACAGGAATATTGAACTTGCGTTAAAGTGCCGCCGAATTAGGTTCTTCTCCACATGCCACATACAACAACAATGACGAGACAAAGGAAATAAGTGAGTAATAACTCTTTCGATACTTCTTTTCCTGTCCGAAACAAATACAAGTTCATCTGAGTCTCCTATAAGATCTTTCAAGTTAGACATAAACCACATCCAAGATCGGTTCGTTTCGGAATCCACAATCCCCCACGCTAAGGGATAAATCTGTTTGTTTGCATCTTGGGCAGTTGCCAGTAAAAGTGTACCCTTGTATGGACCTTTCAAGTAACTACCGTCAACGCAAACTGCGGGCCTCAAGTACTGCATGTAACCACGAATGCTTGCACCAAAAGTTAGGAAGAAGTAATGGAATCTATCGCGAGAATCAAGTTCGATGTGGGTTATTCTCACCTAGTACGTGACAGTATGAAGATAATTTCTGAAAACTGTCCTCCGGTGTCCCATGCAGCATATGTAAAGCGGCCACCTTTCCCCTACGTGCCTTGCTGTAACTTATTTGGACACCGAGCTCACGTTCCATGTCACGTGCAATAGTGCTCGGATCATACGATCGGTTCGGATTATCCAGTTTTTCGAAAATATGCTCAGCAATTACAGCACTCGTCACATGTCATACGCATTACTGCGAAAGTCAATGGAACATGTGTGCACATTATTGAATTTACGGATCACAAAGATTGCAGACTGCCTCACAGTAGAAGCACGTAACATCCACTTGCAACTGCGGTCGGCGCATACAACGGTTAACATCTTCATGCTTGATCGGCTCACCCGAAATTGGAACTTGTTTTTCAAAGCAAGTGCACGAATTTTTGAGTACAACTCTTTCTTGCTGAAGAATATTTCCTTTTCAGCAAGATCGGATGTAGTCACAGTTCTCATAAATTCATATCCATCTGAATCGTTCGAATGTGACAAAGAGTGCTCGTCCTCGACGTCAACAGAATTAGCAGCCTCTAAACTAGGTGATGGGTTATCCAAGTTCTCATCTAATGGTGCACTCCCGTTATCATACTCATGTGTTTCAAGTACATTATTGTTTGAGACACTATGCATTCGATTCACCAAATCATGTTCCACATTTTGCTGAACATCTACCGCGGCAAACGAAGGATCTTCAAAATTCGCGTCCCTTCCCATGTCAACACTTGGGAGATCGGATTCCAAAACAGTAACGCAGATAGCACTTTCCTTATGCACTGATACGTACCAATTTAAGTCTTCATTGTCGCATATTTCAGCCGGAGGTATATTCAAGTTAGGGACTTTGAACTTCAATTCAATTTGAGCGCGGGGATCAAGAATACCAAGTTTCTCCTTCAACCTTAACATAAGTTCGGCTACGGTAATACTTCTTGGCACCAGAATGAAAGTAGTTTTGTCCCCTCTCCACTTCCATTCGTCATCCGCATGAACAAAATTTCCCCCATGCGACACGACGAATTTCAAATGATTATTCATACCTGAAATGTTGGGATTGCAATGGTAACAATTCGGAATCAATATGTTGGCATTTAATAGCATGAAACTCACACTTCATAATACGTAAATCAGTACAATAACAAAAGTTCAAATCAAGGTTTTGTATCGTTTTGAAGTATCCAAATTGAAAGTAATATTCTATAACTCGGCAGTTTCGAAATGTCAGGTTCGACATCTCAAACGTCTAACCCGACGATTTGTAAATGTCGAACTCGACAGTTTAACTATCGAGAATGTCGGGAAGCAGACGGCAGTGAATTTCTGAGGTTTCTTCAACACATCATATTAAGTGTGGTCATTATTATTCACCTACCAAATGACATAATGAAAATGGCATATTGGCCTTATCATTAAAGAGACCTTAATGGTGGTAATGGAAAAAATTACTCAATGGTGATAATGACATTTTATTAAGGATTCAAAAAAAATTAAACAAATGAATGCATAATACTTTCAAAGTAATTTCAAATAAATATGCCCATGTTATATTTAATATGTACAAATACAAAGTTATAAAAGTAATATAAATTAATTTGTAATTGCTAACCTCTCAAAGTGGATAGAATGCAACACAAATGTCTTCTTGATCAATGAAAATGAAGAAGATGGAAAAGAGGTAAAGTTTCTTGTTTTTATTTCGTTTTCTAATTTATTTGGTAATTTTTTATTAACAAAAATTCATATTAATCAATAAAATACACATTTATCAATGTTTTCTATCAAGTCAATGATTTTCCTTCACATCAAGCATTTAATGCTATTAGAAATGTGTGATTAACGGTATTTTGGACTTTGCACCCCAAAAATGTGACATTTTTGCTCACAAAAAGTGAAAATGACATTTTTTTTTTAACTTTCATTTCTGGTGACAATTTTGTACATTCCCCAAAAATAATTCAATGTTGCTACACGTACAATTACCCTTACAGCTTGGATGACAGTGCTGACATGGAAAATGGGGGCAAAAAAAATAAGAAGGAAAACACCAAAAGCAGCCCAACTCGGTCCCCTTTTGAAGACCCTATTTTCAACCTAATACCCTAATCTCACTCCAGCATTACAAAGACAAAGCTCTCTCACTGCACCACTATTGCAAAAACGCATGAAGCTCTCTCACTGCACCACTGCTGCAAAAACTCTGGCGTCCGTTTCTTCTTGAAGCTGTAGGGAATTTTATCCCGCTCACCGATATACCGCCGGCCAGTAAAATCGTCATTCCACCGTCTTGATCGACAACCCACCAAATACCTCTTTCGTCTTTCGTAACAAAAAAGAAGGTGACATATTTTTGATTTCTCTACCATTTAATTTTTTACACTTGACGTCCGGCCAACGGTCTTGTACGGCTTAGGTTGTCTGGCCATTTTTTCTGTTCGAGAGTTTTGTTATCAATTTCAAATTTGAAAATTGTGTGGGTTGGTCGTCAATAGTAAAGGGAAATGTAGTTTTCCAATCTAGATTGTTATCAATTTCAAAATAGTATGGGTTGTTATCAATTTCAAATTTCAAAAATTCAAGAGTTTTGTTACTCTTCTGGATTTCTAAAGTGATGAAAGCAAGATTGCATTACACAATCGTCTTTAGCTATAGTTTGCATCTTTTTCTCGTTTAATTGCCAGGAATAATAGTGAACGGAAATGTAGTTTTCCAATCTGCCGACCAGATGTTTGATGAAATGCCCGAGTAGAAAATTTCTTGTAACTTCAAATGCTGAATTCAACTAAAAAAATATGAGATATCCACAAAAAGGCAAATCAAGTTTGAGTGTGGTCATGCTTCTTAATTGGGTTAATATTCTTAGCCAACGTTTTGAACTTAAACTAGAAACACTGCAGTTTTGGTTTCAAGCATTTGTTCAATTGGAATCCTTCCACTGAAATTAAGATGGAATTTCGTTGATATGGTCAGACCTTTTAGGTCTTCTTATTGCAATGAAAAATGCTACTTGATTCTGATTAATGCTACTTGATTCTGATTGTAATGAAAATGTCTTAATTGGGTTTATATTCTTATTACAAATTTAAATTTCTGTCACGTTGATGTGATCCTTTCACATTGTTCAACTAAATTAGTTCGATGGCAATCAAGAATAAGGAAATTTGTCAATGTTGTAGACAGGTAGGACATATGTTGTCGGAGTGCCCAAAAAAAAGAAGATGCCCAAACTGTGGTGCAGGCTTTATCAAATGAATGGAGGTGGAAAAGAACAATGAACATAAAGGATTGTTGTTTCATTGTTGTACCCGCGATTGCAAGTATTTCAAATGGTGTAAGAAATTTATGGATGAAAAATGTGAATTGCATGACGACGGTGAATCAAGTGTCACTTTAAAATGAGGTGAGCCTGTTGCGGAGTTGTCGCATATGTTGAAAATGCTTGCTAAGCTGACGGAGGAAAAAGACTTGGAGATTTCCCTCAACATCAACATGCGTAAGGGAAAACAAGAGTCCGAAGATTTTATCTAAACTTAGATGTAATTCTACTCTATGCAATACGATATTGTGGATGTAATGAAGTCGTTGAGTCTTATGATTTTGTTCGTGTACATATTTGTTCGTCTCTAGTGTCTTTGTTAGCTGCCGTGGGTGTTATGAATCTACTTCCCTCGTGCAAGGCAAGTAGAATTGTGCTCAACTATTAGGTCCATTTAAAAATCATGAATTAGGATTGGTTGCAATGTGGGTTATGTTCTTATGGTGAAATATTGTTGTGTACCAACTGTTTTCTCCAAATTTTTGCCCTCGAAAACATTATGCATATAATTTATCGTGCTTA